ACTACTCGGGAATGACAACTGGTAAAAGTATAAATGTGAACAAGTCGAGCAACAGAACGATCAAGCTTTTTTAATTTGTATGAAGTGTTTGAATGATTTTAGAATTTTGAAAACATTTCGTATGAATCGGATCACACCGAGCCAAGACTTTCACCGGTTTGTTCACCGAATTCTGCAGCTCAAAAATCAGAGGTAGGTAAATTGCCATCGCTTTTCTCCCTAAATATTGACCATAAACAGAGCCTGAATTGTGAAAGAATTGCTAAAAATGGCCTGTAATGACCTTGGCTAACTCAGCGTTCTTCTGGAAAGCAGTGGGCATCTGGGAGAGAACTTTTAAACATAAAATTCATTACTGCGGAAAAATTCACACTCTGAGTTGTTTGTGTATCCGCATGATACTATCCTAAATTACTGCGTATATCTGAACTGAATCTGGAATGAATCCTTTACAAGATTTGTTTATGACTTCTGGAATACTTTCTTCCTTTGAAAGTAGGCCAATTTTTGCGATGATTTTAATAGGCCCTTCAAATTCTCTACACTTTGAAGATGCAAATTTTAGGCTCATCGCACTGGAGTGTTTGAGCTTCTGCGACTTACTGTACAGCACTGCATAAAGAGTCCATTACTGGTTGAGTCATATTAGCGTTCGGGCTGCATTTGCGCGAGCAGTTCAGCTATTCAAACAACAGCAGCTATTTACACACCTTCTTCTGTAGTAAAATGTCTGGCCATCGGCACCGGTTATTTTACTAGCATTCTCCGCCTCGTGATTTGCAGACTTCAGAATTATCCTGAAATTCACTCCGAAAAATACACATTTCTTGTTATTTGATAATTTTGATCGCACAAAAGCTAACAGCAATAAAATCCTTAAAATTAGGTAAATTTCGGCTTCCAGTAACGACTTGATAATGATACTTTGATGAGCAGTCGACTCACGGTCACATTTCCTCACGCCATTGATGCAGTTGGCAACTTCTCTATTCGTGTCTATTTTCACTCGCTCTCATTCACATAATTCCAGAACTATATTTTCAAGCTTATTTAAAAATTCATTGTTGACTTGAGCAGGCCTGCTGAACAGAATTTTTTAAGCTTATGACTTTTCAGCATAGAACACACTGTTTTATCTATGAAAATATGCATTTGGAGCATCGCCTCTACAAAATCACATTATTATTATTTTATTATTATTATTATTATTATTATTAGCTTTTAATTTTATTATTAATCACAGTCACATTATTATCATTATTTTGGGAGGAATTTTGTACCGTTGTTTATTATTGCCATTCGATCCTGATCATCCTTAATCTAACAGTAATATGAACATCGCAATTGCTTTCATTCTGCTCACTGTAGGTAACTGCATCTTTTTTTAAGCATATGCCTTGGTAGAGTGAAGGACTGATGAAAACAGACTATGCAGTAGCATCAGGCGTATCATTTGTAGCCAGATTTGCGGGTGTTGCCGTCTACGCAAAGGCGATTTTACCATGCTGGAGGGTAATCCTCAGTTGTAAGAATAGGAAGTATCATCGACGGAGGAGCAGTTGGCGCACTCGAGGGGGTAAGGCAACGAGAGTGCCGGTTCCTCATTTCGTCAAGATAGTATGATGCGGTCAGCTGCTAATGGTGCCGGACACTCATACTGACCTTGATTGTCGGACTGGACGCCCAGTCTCCGTTCTCCGGCTAACAATCGATTTGACCCC